CAAATTCCCATTTTCCTCAAAAAACCCATTTAAAAAATCCAATTTTTTTCCCGTAAAAAAATCCCAATTTTTTCACCCTAAAAACCCCCCAAAAATCCCAATTTCCCCCGCAAAACCCTAAAAAAACCTCCATTTTTTTTTATTTTTTCCCGTAGAAATTAAGATTTTTTTCCCCCCCAAGACGCCTCAAAAATTTCATTTTTTTCCCGTAAAAACCCCTAAAAAATCCCAATTTTTCTCCCCAAAACCCCCCCAAAAAATCCGGATTTTTCCCCGTTTTTCTCCCAAAATCGCGATTTTTTCCCTAAAATCTGGATTTTTCCCACAGGTAACATCATCGGCTCGGGGATTTTCGTGGCGCCGCGCGGGGTCCTGGCGCACTCGGGGGCCGCGGGGCCGGCGCTGCTCATCTGGGGCCTGTCGGGGGCGGTGACGGCCGTGGGCGCGCTGTGCTACGCCGAGCTGGGCGTGGCCCTGCCCCGCCCCCGGCGGCGACTACGCCTACGTGGCGCACGCCTTCGGGCCCCTCGTCGGGTAAGGCTGGGGAAAATTCCGGAAAAAAACCGGGAAAAAACGGGGAAATCGCCAAAAATCCCCGGCAAAATCCGCCACGGTTTGGGCGAAAGCCGCCGTTTTGCGTTGATTATCCGCCAGTTTGTGTTGATTATCTCCCAGTTTGTGTTGATTATCCGCCAGTTTGTGTCAACTTGCCGCCATTTTGTGTTGATTATCCGCCATTTTGTGTTGATTATCCGCCAGTTTGTGTTGATTATCCGCCATTTTGTGTTGATTATCCACCATTTTGTGTTGATTATCCGCCATTTTGTGTCAACTTCCTGCCATTTTGTGTTGGTCTGCCGCCATTTTGTGTTGATTATCCGCCAGTTTGTGTTGATTATCTGCCATTTTGTGTCAACTTGCCGCCATTTTGTGTCGACTTCCCGCCATTTTGTGTTGATTATCCACCATTTTGTGTCAACTTCCTGCCATTTTGTGTTGGTCTGCCGCCATTTTGTGTCGATTATCCGCCAGTTTGTGTTGATTATCCACCATTTTGTGTTCATTATCCGCTATTTTGTGTTGATTATCCGCCATTTTGTGTCAACTTCCCGCCATTTTGTGTTGGCCTGCCGCCATTTTGTGTTGATTTTCCGCCATTTTGTGTTGACTTTCTGCCTTTTTGTGTTGATTATCCGCCATGTAGTGTTGATTATCAACCATTTTGTGTCAACTTCCCGCCATTTTGTGTTGACTTCCCACCAGTTTGCGTCAATTATCCACCATTTTGTGTCAACTTGCCGCCATTTTGCTTGTTTTTTCCCACCCTTTTTGTTGATTATCCTCCGTTTTGTGTCGATGCAAAAGTTGGGGAAAATTCCGGAAAATTTGGGAAAATCACCAAAAATCCGCATCAAAATCCGCCTTGGTTTGGGCAAAATCCGCCATTTTGTGTTGATTATCCGCAGTTTGTGTTGATTATCCGTCATTTAGTGTTGATTATCCGCCATTTTGTGTCAACTTCCCGCCATTTTGTGTTGGCCTGCCGCCATTTTGAGTTGACTTCCCGCCATTTTGTGTTGATTATCCGCCATTTTGTGTTGATTATCCGCCATTTTGTGTTGATTATCCGCCATTTTGTGTTCATTATCCGCCATTTTGTGTTCATTATCCGCCATTTTGTGTTGATTATCCGCCATTTTGTGTTCATTATCCGCCATTTTGGTTGGCTTGCCGCCATTTTGTCTTGGCTTGCCGCCATTTTGTGTCGATCTCCCGCCATTTTGTGTCAGTTTTCTGCCATTTTCTGTTGATTTTCTGCCACTTTATGAAATTTTCCCGCCGTTTCCTCTTGGCCTGCCGCCATTTTGTGTCGGTGTCCCGCCATTTTGCGTTGGCCTGACGCCATTTTGTCTCCTTTTCCCGCCATTTTGTCTTGGTTTGCCGCCATTTTGCGTCCTTTTCCCGCCGTTGTGTGTGGGTTTCATTTGGGATCAAAATTCGCTGGTTTTGAGCCACTTTTCCTCCAAATTTCCCCATTTTCACCAAGATTTCACAGTTTTTTACTGAAATTTCCCCATTTTTACCAAAATTTCCCGGTTTTTTACTGAAACTTCCCGATTTTCCCCAAAATTTTACCTTTTTTACCAAGTTTTCCCCCATTATCCCTACAATTTCCCAATATTTAACTGAAATCTCCCCATTTTTACCATTTTTTACCATTTTTTCCAAAATTCTCGCATTTATACCAAAATTTCCCGATTTTCCCCAAAATTTTACCGTTTTTACCAAGTTTTCCCCATTCCTCCCAAAATTTCAGCCTAAAAATTCCCGGAAATTCCAGCCCCAAATTAGCAAATTTTGTCCCAAAATGAAATTGATAAAAGAGCAGGAAATCCACACAAAATAAGCGGGAAACTCACGAAAAGTGGTGGGAAAATGACAGAAAATCGACACAAAATGGCAGAAAATTGACACAAAATGGGGGAAATTTGCTATTTTTGGGGTGGAATTTCCGGGAATTTTTTGGCTGAAATTTTGGGACTTTTTTGGGGATTCTGGGTTGGAACTTTTGGGGATTTTTGGGATTTCTTGGAATTTCTCAGGCGGCGATTTTTGGGGCGATTTCAGGGAATTTCTCTCTCGGAATTTCATGGGATTTTTGGGGAGTTTTTGTGCTGAAAGTTTTTGAGATTTTAGGGAATTTTGAGGCTGGAATTTAATGGGATTTTTATGGGATTTTATTGGAAGTTTAGACCAGAATTTTATGGGGTTTTTGGCCTGGAATTTTAGGGGATTTTTATCGGATTTTAGGGAATTTTTAGCCTGGAATTCGATAGAAATTCTAGCGCAGAATTTAATGGGATTTTCAGAGGATTTTAGGGAATTTGTAGCCTGGAATTTTATGGGATTTTGGGGGATATTTGGGTGGGAATTTTATGGGATTTTGGGGGGATTTTTAGCGTATAATTTTATGGGATTTCACAGGAATTTTAAGCCAGAGCTTAAAGGGAATTTTGGGGATTTTAGGCAGTATTTAAACTGGAATTTTACGAGATTTTTAGCCTGGAATTTTATGGAATTTTTAGAGGATTTTGGGAAATTTTTTGGGCCGGAATTTTAGAGGATTTTAATGGGATTTTAGTGAATTTTTTGGCCAGAATTTTATGGCATTTTAGGGCGATTTTCGGGCCAAAATTTAATAAAATTTTAACGCGATTTTCACCTCTTTTTTTTCCCGTAATTTCCCCATTTTTCCGCCTTTTTTCGCCCCGTTTTTTTTCCCCCGATCCCTTTCTCCCGCTCCCCACGTCCTTTCCGCCTATTCGTAAATATTGAATTTTCCCAAATTTCCCGGTTTTCGCCCCAGATTCCTGCGGCTCTGGATCTCGGTGCTGGTGATTTACCCGACCAACCAGGCGGTGATCGCGCTCACCTTCGCCAACTACGTCCTGCAGCCGCTCTTCCCCACCTGCGGCACCCCCGAGGCCGCCCTCAGGGTCCTGGCTGCCGCCTGCCTGCGTGAGTCACCCCGAAATTCCCGAAAACCCAAAAAATTTGGGAAAAAACGGCGAAAAAACGGCGAAAAACGGCCAAAAAACGGCCGAAAAACGGGCGAGGAACGGCTCGGAAATGACCAAAACTGGCCAAAATTTGCCCCAAATCCACCTGGGGTTCACCTGTGTCCCTGAGAGATCCCGAAATTCATGAAAGTTTGGGAATTTTCCCCAAAAAAATTTGGGAAAAAACGGTGAAAAAATGACGAAAAAACGGCCGAAAAATGATGAAAATACGGCGAAAAACGGGGAAGGAAGGGCTCGGAAATGACCAAAATCGGCCCAAAATTTGCCCCAAATCCACCTGGGGTTCACCTGTGTCGCTGTGAGATCCCAAAATTCATGAAAGTTTGGGGATTTTTCCCAAAAAAAATTTGGGAAAAAACGGTGAAAAAATGACGAAAAACGGCCAAAAAACGGCCGAAAAACGGGCGAGGAACGGCTCGGAAATGACCAAAATTGGCCCAGATTTTGCCTCAAATCCACCTGAGGCTCATGTGTGTCCCTGAGCGATCCTAAAATTCATGAAAGTTTGGGAATTTTTCCCAAAAAAAATTTGGGAAAAAACGGTGAAAAAATGACGAAAAACGGCCGAAAAATGATGAAAATACGGCGAAAAACGGGCGAGGAACGGCTCGAAAATGACCAAAATTGGCCCAGATTTTGCCTCAAATCCACCTGGGGTTCACCTGTGTCGCTGTGAGATCCCAAAATTCATGAAAGTTTGGGAATTTTCCCCAAAAAAATTTGGGAAAAAACGGTGAAAAAATGACGAAAAAGGGCCAAAAAACGGCGAAAAACGGGCGAGGAACGGCTCGAAAATTAACAAAATTTACCCAAAATTGACTTGAAATTGGTCTCAAATTCAGCTGTGTCCCTTTGTGATCCCAAAAATGCCCAAAAATTTTGGAATTGCCAGAATTCCCCAAAAGATTTGACAAAAAAATCTCCATTTACTGCCCCAAAATCCTCATTTTTTCACCTAAAACCTCCGTTTTTTCACCTAAAATCCCCGGGTTTTTTTCCCAAAATCTCCTTTTTTCCACCCAAACTTCACCTGCATTTACCTGAGCCCCCTTCAATTCCATTTTAACCCTTTAAATCCATTGTAACCCCTAAAATCCCCCCCAAATTCCATTTTAACCCCTAAAATCCCCATTTTTTCACCAAGAATCCCCACTCTTTCCCAAAACCTGCATTTTTTACCCCAAAATGACCCCAATTTTAACCTCTTCCTGCCTGGTCTGATCTGGCTCCCGTTTATCCCCATTTTTAACCCTTAAAACCCCATTTAACCCCCTAAAATCTGCAATTTTTGCCCTAAAATCCCCGTTTTTTCACCTAAAATCCCCGTTTTTTCACCAAAAATCCCCATTTCTTTTCCCAAAATCCCCATTTTTCACCCCGAATTTTCACCTGAGCTCACCCAGCCGTCTTTCACTTCAATTTTAACCCCTAAAATGCCATTTTAACCCTTAAAATCCCCGCAAAATCTCCGTTTTTTGCCCTAAAATCCCCGTTTTTTCACCAAAAATCCCCGTTTTTTTTCCCAAAATCCCATTTTTCCCCCCAAATTCCATTCCCGGTGCTGCTGACGTGGCTGAGCTGCCGCAGCGTGCGCTGGGCCACGCGGGTGCAGGACGTGTTCCCAAAATCCCCATTTTAACCCCTAAAATCCCCATTTTTTCACCAAGAATCCCCACTCTTTCCAAAACCTGCATTTTTTACCCCAAAATGACCCCAATTTTAACCTCTTCCTGCCTGGTCTGATCTGGCTCCCGTTTATCCCCGATTTTTAACCCTTAAACCCCATTTTAACCCCTAAAATCTGCAATTTTTGCCCTAAAATCCCCGTTTTTTCACCAAAAATCCCCGTTTTTTCACCGAAAATCCCCATTTCTTTTCCCAAAATCCCCATTTTTCACCCCGAATTTTCACCTGAGCTCACCCAGCCGTCTTTCATTTCAATTTTTAACCCCTAAAATGCCATTTTAACCCTCAAAATCCCCGCAAAATCTCCGTTTTTTGCCCTAAAATCCCCATTTTTTCACCAAAAGTCCCCGTTTTTTTTCCCAAAATCCCCATTTTTCACCCCAAATTTTCAGCTGAGCTCACCCAGCCATCTTTCACTTCAATTTATAACCCCTAAAATGCCATTTTAACCCTTAAAATCCCCGCAAAATCTCCGTTTTTTGCCCCAAAATCCCCATTTTTTCACCAAAAACCTCCGTTTTTTCACCTAAAATCCCCGGGTTTTTTTCCCAAAATCTCCTTTTTTCACCCAAACCTCACCTGCATTTACCTGAGCCCCCTTCAATTCCATTTTAACCCTTGAAATCCCATTGTAACCCCTAAAATCCCCCCCAAATCCCCATTTTAACCCCTAAAATCCCCATTTTTTCACCAAGAATCCCCACTCTTTCCAAAACCTGCATTTTTTACCCCAAAATGACCCCAATTTTAACCTCTTCCCCCCTGCCTGGTCTGATCTGGCTCCCGTTTATCCCCATTTTTAACCCTTAAAACCCCATTTGAACCCTTAAAATCTGCAATTTTTGCCCTAAAATTCTCATTTTTTCACCAAAAATCCCCGTTTTTTCCCAAAATCTCCTTTTTTCACCCAAACCTCACCTGCATTTACCTGAGCCCCCTTCAATTCCATTTTAACCCTTTAAATCCCATTGTAACCCCTAAAATCCCCCCCAAATCCCCATTTTTTGCCCTAAAATCCCCCATTTTTTCACCAAACATCCCCGTTTTTTCACCGAAAATCCCCCATTTCTTTTCCCAAAATCACCATTTTTCACCCCAAATTTTCACCTGAGCTCACCCAGCCATCTTTCATTTCAATTTTAACCCCTAAAATGCCATTTTAACCCTCAAAATCCCCGCCAAATCTCCATTTATTGCCCCAAAATCCCCATTTTTTCACCTAAAACCTCCGTTTTTTTCACCTAAAATCCCCGGGTTTTTTTCCCAAAATCTCCTTTTTTTCACCCAAACCTCACCTGCATTTACCTGAGCCCCCTTCAATTCCATTTTAACCCTTTAAATCCCATTGTAACCCCTAAAATCCCCCCCAAATCCCCATTTTAACCCCTAAAATCCCCATTTTTTCACCAAAAATCCCGTTTTTTTTTCCCAAAATCCCCATTTTTCACCCCGAATTTTCACCTGAGCTCACCCAGCCGTCTTTCACTTCAATTTTAACCCCTAAAATGCCATTTTAACCCTTAAAATCCCCGCAAAATCTCCGTTTTTTGCCCTAAAATCCCCATTTTTTCACCAAAAATCCCCGTTTTTTTCCCAAAATCTCCTTTTTTCCACCCAAACTTCACCTGCATTTACCTGAGCCCCCTTCAATTCCATTTTAACCTTTAAATCCCATTGTAACCCCTAAAATCCCCCCAAATCCCCATTTTAACCCCTAAAATCCCCATTTTTTCACCTAAAATCCCCATTTTTTCACCAAAAATCCCCGTTTTTTTTTCCCAAAATCCCCATTTTTCCCCCCAAATCCCATTCCCAGTGCTGCTGACGTGGGTGAACTGCCGCAGCGTGCGCTGGGCCACGCGGGTGCAGGACGTGTTCACGGCGGGGAAGCTGCTGGCGCTGGCGCTGATCGTGGGCGCCGGCGCCGTGCTCATCGCCAGGGGTGAGACGAAAATGGGGCAAAAAACCCAAATTTTGGGCAAAAACGAGGGAAAAACGGGGGTTTTGGGGGGAAAAACGGGGGTTTTGGGGGGAAAAACGGGGGTTTGGGGGGGGCAAAAATGGGGGAAAAAACCAGGAAGAAACCCCCGGAATTCGAGAAGAGGAAAAGCACCGAGGAAAAAATAAAAAAAGGATTTGGGGAAAAAAATGGGGGAAAATCAGGAAAAAATGGGGAAAAGCAAATAAATAGCGGAGGGAAAATTGGGGGAAAACAGGGAGATAAACGGGGGTAAAATCGGGGAAAAACCACAGGGTTTTGGGGAAAAATAGGTGAAAATACAGAGGGAAAAAGGATTTTGGGGTAAGAAAACGAAAAATGGGGAAGAGTCAAAGAAGCAGGGATTTGGGGGGAAAATTGGGGTAAAAACACGGGAAAATGGCGATAAATGGGATTTGGGGGGAGAACTTGAAGAATTTGGGGGAAAAGGGGGAAAAAAGGTAAAGAAAAGAGGGGAGCTGGGGCAGAATGGGGAAAAATTTGGGGAAAATAATTGGGATTTTAGGGTGGGAAAACGGAATTATTTTCGAGAAATGGGTGACAAACAAGGGAAAAGTAAATTTGGGGGAAAAAAGGGAAAAATTGGGGAGGAATTGCAGAAAATTGGTAAAAAAATGCCCCGAAAAGGAGCTGGCGGTGATCGTGGGCGCCGGGGATGAGATAAAAATGGGGCAAAAACCCCAGATTTTGGGCAAAAATAAAAAATTCAGGGTTTTGGGGAAAAAAAAGGGGAGGAATGGGGAAAAAAAGGGGGGAAATAAAGGGGAAATTGGGGGAAATAATGAGATTTTTGGGAAAAATGGGGGAGCAGTAAAAGGGGGAAATGGGGGGAATAATGAGATTTTTTGGAGGAAAATGGGGGGGAAATTGGGAAAAAAGAGGGAGAATTGGGAAAAATCGGTGGAAAAAATAGGTAGAAAGGGGATTTTGGGAAAATGGGGAGAAAAGGGGAAAAAATGAGGAAAAAGTGGAGAAAAAGAGGAGAAAATTGGGGGAAATGGGGAATAAAAGGGAGTTTGGGGAAAAAAGGGAGGGGAAAAAGGGAAAAATAAGGAAAAGTTGGGGAAAAGGGAGAAAATTGGGGGGATTTTGGGGAAAAATGGGAAAAAAAGCTGAGGAAAATCAGGAATTTGGGGGGAAAAAAGGGGAAACTGGGGAGGAATGGAGCTGATCGCCAGGGGTGAGATAAAAATGGGGCAAAAAACCCAAATTTTGGGCAAAAATATAGACAGCAGGGGAAAAGAAGGGATTTGGGGGGGAAAATAGGTAAAAAACCCTCAGGGATTTGGGAGGGAAATGGGGAAAAATTGAGTTTGTTGGGGAGAAAATGGAAAAAAAACCAAAAAAAAAAGGAAAAACGGCGGGGAAAAAAAAGGTGATTTTTGGGAAAAATGGAGATTATTAAGGGAAGGAACTCGGGGAAAAAATGGGATTGGGGAGAGGAAAAATGGGGGAGAAGAAAAGGGGGAAAAGCCCCAGGAAAAGTTTGGAGTAAACGAAATTTTTTGGGAAAAAAAAATGGGATTTTGGGAAAAAAAAGAGGAGGTTTGGAAGGTAAAATCCGGAAAGTTTCGGGGGGGTTGAAATAGGGGAAAAATGAGGGGAAATAGGGATAAAAGTGGATTTGGGGAAAAATGGGGTGGAAAATGGGATTTTTTTTTTTTTGTTTTTCCCTGCCCAGGTGAGCATTTCTGGCTCCGCCCCTCGCGAGCCGGGGAAATGGGGGAAAAACCAGGAAAATCGGGAAAAAATAGAGAAAAACTGGGAAAAAATTGGATTTCAGGGGGCAAAGAATGGGAAAGGCGGGGGAAAATGGGATTTTGGGAAAATAAATGGGGAAAATGGGGGGAAAATGGGGGGAAAAGCCTCAGGAAAAATTGGGTTCTTTGCGAAAAAAATGGGGGAAATGTGGAGAAAATAGGGGGAAAAATGGGGAAAAAAAATCGGAGAAAAATCAGAAAAAAATGGGTGAAAATCGGAAATTTCCGTTGGAAAAGTTAAAAATGGTTATAAATGTATTAAAACCTTAAAAGCAATAGAAATAACTTTAAAATATTTTTAAATCGCCAAAAGATTAGGAAGAAATTGGGGAAAAAACCTGAAAAAAAAGGGAAAAAAAATTCGAATAAAACAAAAAAAAAGTCGCTAAAAAATGGCAAAAAATCGCTAAAAAATCCAAATTTTTTTCCAATTTTTTTCCTGATTTTGTCCCAAATTTTTTGGTTTTCCCCTGTCCCAGGTGAGCATTTCTGGCTCCGCCCCTCGCAGGCGTTTTCCTGGTGGGCGGAGCCGGGGGCGGGGCCCCTGTTCCTGCCTGGAAATGGGGAAAAATCAGGAAAAAATTGGGAAAAATTGGGGCAAAATGTGCGGAAAATATGGGAGAAAAATGGGGAAAAAAGCCTCAGGAAAAAGTGGGTTTTTTTGAGAAAAAAATGGGGGGGAAAAATGGGGAAAAAAATCGGAGAAAAATCAGGAAGAAATAGGAGAAAGTATTGAAATTTTTTTTAATTTAAAATCTTAAAGAACTAATTAAAATTTTAAAAATCAATAAAAATAATTTAAGAGCATTTTTGAATCACCAAAATTTTGGGAAAAAATTTGGGAAAAATTCCTGAAAAAAAAAACGGAAAAAAAATTGGAAAAAAAAAAAAAACGGAAAAAAAGCCGTAAAAAATGGCAAAAAATCGCTAAAAAATCCAAATTTTTTTCCAATTTTTTCCTGATTTTTTCCCAAATGTTTTTGTTTTTCCCCTGTCCCAGGTGAGCATTTCTGGCTCCGCCCCTCGCAGGTGGGCGGAGCCGGGGGCGGGGCCTCTGTTTTCCTGGTGGGCGGCGCCGGGGGCGGGGCCTCTGTTCCTGCCTGGGAAATGGGGAAAAATGGGAAAAAATTGGGGAAAAATTGGGAAAGACTTGAGAAAGAATGGGATTATGGGAAAAATGAGGGGAAAAAGGGGGGAAAAAGGGAAAAAACTTGGGAAAAGGGAAAAAACAGAAAAAAGTTGGGGATTTATGGGAAAAAGTGAGGGAAAAGAGGAAGAAAATGGGGAGGAAAAGTGGAGGGAAAAAATGGGGGAAAAAATTAAAAAATGGCAAAAAAGCCGGTTAAAGATTGTGAAAGATTGGTTAAAGCTCACGAACTCGATAAAGATGAATAAGAATTGGATGAAACCCTCAAGAAATGAAAAAAGAATTTAAAAATTGGAGAGAGATCCGTTAAAAGTTGGGAAAAGATCCTGGCAAAAGATGGGAAAAAAAAACGCGGAAAAATATCGGAAAAAAATCGCAAAAAAATTGGAAAAAACCCTGGAAAAAAGGTAAAAAATCCCTAAGAATTGCTAAAAAAATGTGATTTTTTTTGGTTCTTACCTGTCCCAGGTGAGCATTTCTGGCTCCGCCCCTCGCAGGCGTTTTCCTGGTGGGCGGAGCCGGGGGCGGGGCCTCTGTTCCTGGCCTGCCTGCAGGGATCCTTCGCCTACGGGGGATGGAACTTCCTCAACTACGTCACCGAGGAGCTGGTGGAGCCCCAGAGGTGAGGATTGGGGCGAAAAACGGCGAAATTGGGAAAAAAGAAAAAAAAAATGGGGAAAATCGGTGAAGAAATGGGGAAAAAATGGGGAAATTTGGGGTAAAAATGGGAATTTTGGGACACCCGGGCATCCTCAGCTGCGTCACCGAGGAGCCGGTGGAGCCCCAGAGGTGAGGATTGGGGCGAAAAACGGGGAAATTGGGAAAAAAGAAAAAAAAAATGGGGAAAATCGGTGAAAAAATGGGGAAAAACGGGGAAAAAATGGGGAAATTTGGGGTAAAAATGGGGAAAAAATTGGAGAAAATTTGGATTAAAAATGGGGATTTGGGCACAGCTGGGAGGGGAAAAATGAGGAAAAAATGGTGGAAAAATGAGAAAATTTGGGTGAAAAATGGGGAAAAAAGCAGAAAATTCGGGTTAAAAATGGAGAAAATTGGAATTGAAAATGGGGATTTGGGCACAGCTGGAAGGGGAAAAATGGGAAAAAATGAGGAAAAAAAAGGTGGAAAAATGGTGGAAAAATGAGAAAATTTGGGTGAAAAATGCAGAAAAAAAGAGAAAAAAAAAAGGAGGAAAAAGTGGGAATTTTGGGGTACCTGGGATGGGAAAATGGGAAAAAAATGGGAAAAAACGGTGAAAAAATGGGGAAATTTGGGTTAAAAATGGGGAAAAAAAAGGAGAAAATTGGAATTAAAAATGGGGATTTGGGCACACCCGGGAATGGAAAGATGAGAAAAAAAATGGTGGAAAAATGAGAAAATTTGGGTGGAAAATGGGGAAAAAATGAAAAAAAAAAAAAGGAGGAAAAAAAATGGGAATTTTGGGGCATCCGGGAGGGGAAAAAAATGGGGAAAAAAAGGGAAAAAAATGTGAAAAAATGAGGAAATTTGGGTGGGAAATGAAAAATAAAAGATGAAAAAATGGGAGAAAAATGTGGAAAAAATGGTGAAGAAATGGGAATTTTGGGGTAAAAAATGGGGATTTTGGGGTGAAAAATGGGGATTTTGGGGTTAGGAATGAGAATTTTGGGGTTAAAAATGGGGATTTTGGGGTTAAAAATGGGGATTTGGGGGTTAAAAATGGGGATTTTGTGGTTAAAAATGGGATTTGGGGGTTAAAAATGGGGATTTGGGGTTAAAAATGGGGATTTTGGGGTTAAAAATGGGATTTGGGGGTTAAAAATGGGGGTTTTGGGGTTAAAAATGGGGATTTTGGGGTTAAAAATGGGGATTTTGGGGTGAAAAATGGGGATTTGGGGTTAAAAATGGGGATTTGGGGTTAAAAATGGGGATTTTGGGGTTAAAAATGGGGATTTGGGGTTCAAAATGGGGATTTTGGGGTTAAAAATGGGGATTTGGGGTTCAAAATGGGGATTTGGGGTTAAAAGTGGGGATTTTGGGGTTAAAAATGGGGATTTTGGGGTTAAAAATGGGGATTTTAGGGTTAAAAATGGGGATTTTGGGGTACCTGGGCACAGCTGGGGGGAGAAAACACTGAAAATAAAGGGGAAAAAATGGTGAAAAAAAGGGGAAAAAAATGGTGAAAAAATGGGGAATATTGGATTAAAAATGGGGAAAATTGGGTAAAAAATGGGGAAAATTGGGTAAAGAATGGGGAAAATTGGGTTAAAAATGGGGAAAATTGGGTAAAAAGTGAGGAAAATTGGGTAAAAAATGGGGAAAATTGGGTTGAAAACGGGGATTTGGGGTTAAAAACTTGGATTTTTGGGTTTCGGGGCCGGCCCGAGGTGGATTTTGGGGCGGTTTTGGTGGATTTTGGGGCGGTTTTGGTGGATTTTGGCGTTTTCGGCGCCGTTTTCCAGGAATTTGCCCTTGGCCATCTCCATCTCCATCCCGCTGGTGACGTTCCTGTACGTGGCGGCCAACGTGGCGTACCTGGCGGCCATGAGCCCCGGGGAGATCCTGCAGAGCGACGCCGTGGCCGTGGTGAGGGGAAAAAGCCAAAAATTTGGGGGAAAAAAGTGAAAATTTGGGAAAAAACGGCGAAAAAACGAGGAAAATCGGTGAAAAAATGGGGATTTTGGGGTTAAAAATGGGGATTTTAGGGTTAAAATGGGGATTTTGGGGTTAAAAATGGGGATTTTGGGGTTAAAAATGGGGATTTTAGGGTTAAAAATGGGGATTTTAGGGTTAAAAATGGGGATTTTGGGGTTAAAAATGGGGATTTTGGGGTACCTGGCGGCCATGAGATCCTGCAGAGCGACGCCGTGGCCGCGGTGAGGGGAAAATGGGGCGAAAAAGGGGAAATTTGGTGAAAAAACCGGAAAAATCGGTGAAAAAATGGGGATTTTAGGGTTAAAAATGGGGATTTTAGGGTTAAAAATGGGGATTTTAGGGTTAATACTGGGGATTTTGGGGTTAAAAATGGGGATTTTGGGGTACCCGGCGGCCATGAGATCCTGCAGAGCGACGCCGTGGCCGTGGTGAGGGAAAATGGGGCGAAAAAGGGGAAATTTGGTGAAAAAACGGGAAAAATCGGTGAAAAAATGGGGATTTTGGGGTTAAAAATGGGGATTTTAGGCTTAAAAATGGGGATTTTAGGGTTAAAAATGGGGATTTTGGGGTTAAAAATGGGGATTTTGGGGTACCTGGCGGCCATGAGCCCCGGGGAGATCCTGCAGAGCGACGCCGTGGCCGTGGTGAGGGGGAAAAGCCAAAAATTTGGGGGAAAAAAGTGAAAATTTGGGAAAAAACGGCGAAAAAACGAGGAAAATCGGTGAAAAAATGGGGATTTTAGGGTTAAAAATGGGGATTTTGGGGTTAAAAATGGGGATTTTTGGGGTTAAAAATGGGGATTTTAGGGTTAAAAATGGGGATTTTGGGGTTAAAAATGGGGATTTTAGGGTTAAAAATGGGGATTTTGGGGTTAAAAATGGGGATTTTAGGGTTAATACTGGGGATTTTGGGGTTAAAAATGGGGATTTTAGGGTTAAAAATGGGGATTTTGGGGTACCTGGCGGCCATGAGATCCTGCAGAGCGACGCCGTGGCCGCGGTGAGGGGAAAATGGGGCGAAAAAGGGGAAATTTGGTGAAAAAACCGGAAAAATCGGTGAAAAAATGGGGATTTTAGGGTTAAAAATGGGGATTTTAGGGTTAAAAATGGGGATTTTGGGGTAAAAAATGGGGATTTTGGGGTTAAAAATGGGGATTTTGGGGTAAAAAATGGGTAAAAAGTGGGGAAATTGGACTTAAAAATGGGGGTTTGGGCACACCTGGGGAACCTGGGCACACCTGGGGGAGAAAAGAAAAAAAATTCGGGAAAAAATGGGAAAAAACGAAGAAAGAACGGGGAAATTTGGGGAAAAAATGGGGAATTTTTGGAGTCGCACCTGGAGGGGGCAAATGGGGAAAGAATGAGAAAATTTGGGTGAAAAACTGGGGAAAAAAGGGTGAAAAATGAGAAAATTTGGGGTAAAATGGGGAATTTGGGGGGCTTGGCTACACCCGGACGGAGAAAACTCCAAAAAATTGGGGAAATTTGGGGGGAAAATGGGGTAAAAATGGGGATTTTTAGGTAAAAATGGGGATTTTGGGGGTTTGGGCTCAACTGGAAACACCTGGAGGAGAAAAGGAAAAATATTGGGTGGAATTTGGGGAAAAAATGGGGAAAAACAGTGAAAAAATGGGGAAATTTGGGGGAAAAATGGGTAAAAAATGGGGATTTTGGGGTTAAAAATGGGAATTTTGGGGTGAAAAATGGGAATTTTGGGGATTTTGGGGTACCTGGCGGCCATGAGATCCTGCAGAGCGACGCCGTGGCCGCGGTGAGGGGAAAATGGGGCGAAAAAGGGAAAATTGGGTGAAAAAAACAAAAAAAATTAGGTGAAAATTGGGGAAAAAATGAGGAAATTAGGGGGAAAAAATGGGAAAAAGCTGTGAAAAAATGGGAAAAGATGGTGAAAAAAATGGGTTAAAAATGAGAATTTGGAGAGTTTGGACACGCCTGGGCACACCGGGGGGAAAAATAAAAAATTGGGTGAAATTTGGGGGAAAAATGGTAAAAACAGTGAAAAATGGGGAAATTTAGGTGAAAAATGGGGAATTTGGGTGAAAAATGGGGAATTGGGGTGAAAAATGGGGAAATTGGGTGAAAAATGGGGAAATTTGGGTGAAAAATGGGGAATTTGGGTGAAAAATGGGAAATTTGGGTGAAAAATGGGGAAATTTGGGTGAAAAATGGGGAATTTGGGTGAAAAATGGGGAATTTGGGTGAAAAGTGGGGAAATTTGGGTGAAAAATGGGGAAATTTGGGTGAAAAATGGGGAAATTTGGTGAAAAATGGGGAATTTGGGTGAAAAATGGGGAAATTTGGGTGAAAAATGGGGAATTTGGGTGAAAAATGGGGAAATTTGGGTGAAAAATGGGGAAATTTGGGTGAAAAATGCGGAAATTTGGGTGAAAAATGGGGAAATTGGGTGAAAAATGGGGAATTTGGGTGAAAAGTTGGGAAATTTGGGTGAAAAATGGGGAAATTTGGGTGAAAAATGGGGAATTTGGGTGAAAAGTTGGGAAATTTGGGTGAAAAATGGGGGAATTTGGTTAAAAATGGGGAATTTGGGTGAAAAATGGGGAATTTGGGTGAAAAATGGGGAATTTGGGTGAAAAATGGGGAAATTTGGGTGAAAAATGGGGAATTAGGGTGAAAAATGGGGAAATTTGGGTGAAAAGTTGGGAAATTTGGGTGAAAAATGGGGAATTTGGGTGAAAAATGGGGAATTTGGGTGAAAAATGGGGAATTGGGGTGAAAAATGGGGAAATTTGGGTGAAAAATGGGGAATTTGGGTGAAAAATGGGGAATTTGGGTGAAAAATGGGGAAATTTGGGTGAAAAATGGGGAATTTGGGTGAAAAATGGGGAATTTGGATGAAAAGTGGGGAAATTTGGGTGAAAAATGGGGAAATTGGGGTGAAAAATGGGGAATTTGGGTGAAAAATGGGGAAATTTGGGTGAAAAATGGGGAAATTTGGGTGAAAAATGGGGAATTTGGGTGAAAAATGGGGAAATTTGGGGAAAAAATGCTTTAAAATGGGGAATAATGAGATTTTGGAGGTTCTGGCTCACCTGGTCACAGCAAGGAGGGAAAAAATGGGGAAAAAAATGGAAAAAAAAGAGAAAAAAAATAAAATTTGCGGAAATAAAAGGAGCGTTCGGGGTAAAAAAAACGGATTTTTGGGGCAAAAATGTGGATGTTTTCCGGGAAAAAAGCGGGAATTTTGAGGAAAATTTGGGACTTTTTGAGGAATTTTGGGATTTTTAAAAAATTTCTCTGGGTCCTTCTGGGATTTGTTGGGAATTGTTGGCAGATTTTGGGAATTCTTTGGGATTTGGGAGAAGTTTGTTTTTTTTTTTTTTTTTTTTTGGGGCGATTTTCTGGGAATTCTTTGGGGATTTTTTTTTTTTTCAGGGTTTTTGGGAAACTTCTCGGGGGAAATTTTGGGAATTTTGTGGGGATTCTGTTGGGACTTGGGAGAATTATTGGGGTTTTTTTTTTAACTTTCGGGCGTTTATTGGGCATTTTTGGGGGGAGTTTTTTGGGAATTTGTTGGGAATTCTTTGGGGATTTGTTGGGGATTTTGCTTTTCGTGGGAAATTTGATAATTTTTTGTTATTTTTCCCCCCTCAGACGTTCGGGGAGAAGGTTCTGGGCCCCCTGGCCTGGGTGATGCCCTTGGCCGTGGCTCTCTCCACCTTCGGCGGCGTCAACGGCTCCCTCTTCACCTGCTCCAGGTCAGAGACCCCGAAATCCCCAAATTCCCAACGTTTCCCCAAAATTCCCACAATTTTCCCCAATTTTTCCCGATTTTTTTCCGATTTTTCCTCATTTTTTTGTCATTTTTGGTCGTTTTTCCATCAAACTTGTGATTTTTTTTTTCTCTCTAATGTCCCTCTTCACTTGCTCCAGGTCAGAGACCCCGAAATTCCCAAATTCCCAACATTTCCCCAAAATTCCCACAATTTTCCCCAATTTTTCCCCATTTTTTTCCGATTTTTCTCCATTTTTTGATCATTTTTGGTCGTTTTTCCATCAAATTTGTGATTTTCTTTCCCCTCTAATTTCCATCTTCACCTGCTCCAGGTCAGAGACCCCGAAATTCCCAAATTCCCAACATTTCCCCAAAATTCCCACAATTTTCCCCAATTTTTCCCGATTTTTTTCCGATTTTTCCCCATTTTTTGGTCATTTTTGGTCGTTTTTCCATCAAATTTGTGATTTTCTTTCCCTGTAATTTCCTTCTTCACCTGCTCCAGGTCAGAAACACCAAAATTCCCAAATTCCCAACATTTCCCCAAAATTCCCACAATTTTCCCCAATTTTTCCCGATTTTTTTCCGATTTTTCCCCATTTTTTGGTCATTTTTGGTCATTTTTCTATCAAATTTCGGATTTTTTTCCCCTCTAATTTCCTTCTTCACCTGCTCCAGGTCAGAAACCCAAAAATCCCCAAATTCCCAACATTTCCCCAAAATTCCCACAATTTTCCCCAGTTTTTCCCGATTTTTTCGCCATTTTTTTGGTCATTTTCCAGTCATTTTTTCCTCAAATTTCTCCATTTTTACCCCAAATTTCCCCTTCCCAACCCCCTCTTCACCTGCTCCAGGTCAGGAAATTCACAAATTCCAAAATTCCCAACATTTCCCCAAAATTCCCACAATTTTCCCCAATTTTTCCCCATTTTTTTCCGATTTTTCCCCATTTTTTGGTCATTTTTGGTCGTTTTTCCATCAAATTTCGGATTTTTTTTCCCCTCTTATTTCCTTCTTCACCTGCTCCAGGTGAGAAACACCAAAATCCCCAAATTCCCAAAATTTCCCCAAATTTCCCACAATTTTCCCCAATTTTTCCCCATTTTTTTCCGATTTTTCCCCATTTTTTGGTCATTTTTGGTCGTTTTTCCATCAAGTTTGTGATTTTCTTTCCCTGTAATTTCCTTCTTCACCTGCTCCAGGTCAGAAACACCAAAATTCCCAAATTCCCAACATTTCCCCAAAATTCCCACAATTTTCCCCAATTTTTCCCCATTTTTTTCCGATTTTTCCCCATTTTTTGATCACTTTTGGTCATTTTTCCATCAAATTTCTGATTTTTTTTCCTCTCTAATTTCCTTCTTCACCTGCTCCAGGTCAGGAACCCCAAAATTCCCAAATTCCCAACATTTCCCCAAAATTCCCACAATTTTCCCCAATTTTTCCCCATTTTTTTCCGATTTTTCCCCATTTTTTTGTCATTTTTGGTCGTTTTTCCATCAAATTTCTGATTTTTTTTCCCCTCTAATTTCCTTCTTCACCTGCTCCAGGTGAGAAACACCAAAATCCCCAAATTCCCAAAATTTCCCCAAATTTCCCACAATTTTCCCCAATTTTTCCCCATTTTTTTCCGATTTTTCCCCATTTTTTGGTCATTTTTGGTCATTTTTCCATCAAATTTCGGATTTTTTTTCCCCTCTTATTTCCTTCTTCACCTGCTCCAGGTGAGAAACCCCGAAATTCCCAAATTCCCAAAATTTCCCCAAAATTCCAACAATTTTCCCCAATTTTTCCCGATTTTTTTCCGATTTTCCCCCATTTTTTGATCATTTTTGGTCGTTCTTCCATCAAATTTCTGATTTTTTTTCCCCTCTAATTTCCCTCTTCACCTGCTCCAGGTCAGAGACCCCGAAATTCCCAAATTCCCAAAATTTCCCCAAAATTCCCACAATTTTCCCCAATTTTTCCCCATTTTTTTCCGATTTTTCCCCATTTTTTGGTCATTTTTGGTCATTTTTCCATCAAATTTCGGATTTTTTTTCCCCTCTAATTTCCATCTTCACCTGCTCCAGGTGAGAAACACCAAAATCCCCAAATTCCCAAAATTTCCCCAAATTTCCCACAATTTTCCCCAATTTTTCCCGATTTTTTTCCGATTTTCCCCCATTTTTTGGTCATTTTTGGTCGTTTTTCCATCAAATTTGTGATTTTCTTTCCCTGTAATTTCCTTCTTCACCTGCTCCAGGTCAGGAACACCAAAATCCCCAAATTCCCAACATTTCCCCAAAATTCCCACAATTTTCCCCAAATTTTCCCGATTTTTTTCCGATTTTTCCCCATTTTTTGATCATTTTTGGTCGTTTTTCCATCAAATTTGTGATTTTCTTTCCCTGTAATTTCCTTCTTCACCTGCTCCAGGTGAGAAACACCAAAATCCCCAAATTCCCAAAATTTCCCCAAAATCCCTGGAATTTTCCCCAATTTTTCCTGATTTTTTCGCCATTTTTTTGGTCATTTTCCAGTCATTTTTTCCTCAAATTTGTCCATTTTTACCCCAAATTTCCCTTTCCCAAACCTCTCTTCACCTGCTCCAGGTCAGAAACCCTAAATTTCCCAAAATCCCACAATTTTCCCAAAACTCCCCCAATTTTCCCTCCGAATTTTTCCTTCCAAATTCCCCAATTTCCCCCCAAAATTCCCTGAATTTTCTCCTTTTTCTTTTCCACAAATTCCCCAAATTCCGAAATCCCCCCGGATCTCACCCAAAACCTCCCAATTTTGCTCAAAATCCCCAAAATTTCCCCCCCCCCAGATTTTCCCATTTTCCCCTCATTTCTCCCCGTTCATTTCCCCCATGACATCATCCCCTCATCGTGACCACGCCCACCATGACATCACCACCGCCGTGACCACGCCCACAATTGCATCACTCCACCGTGACCACGCCTACCATGACATCACCACCGCTGTGACCACGCCCACCATGACATCATCTGCCTGTGACCACGCCTACCATGACATCATCTGCCTGTGACCACGCCCACCATGACATCATCTACCTGTGACCACGCCCACCATGACATCATCTGCCTGTGACCACGCCCACAATGGCATCATTCCACCGTGACCACGCCCACCATGACATCACCACCACCGTGACCACGCCCACCATGACATCACCCCGTGGTGACCACGCCTACCATGATATCATCCACCTGTGACCACGCCCACCATGACATCATCTGCCTGTGACCACACCTACCATGACATCATCTACCTGTGACCACGCCTACCATGACATCGCCACCGCTGTGACCACGCCCACAATTTCATCATCCCACCGTGACCACGCCTACCATGACATCATCTACCTGTGACCACGCCCACCATTGCATCACCCCGCCATGGCCACGCCCACCATGACATCATCTGCCTGTGACCACGCCCACTATGACATCGCACCGCTGTGACCACGCCCACCATGACATCATCTGCCTGTGACCACGCCCACCATGACATCACCACCGCCGTGACCACGCCCACCATGACATCACCCTTGCTGTGACCATGCCCCCAATGACATCATCTGCCTGTGACCACGCCCACCATGACATCATCTGCCTGCGACCACGCCTACCATGACACCCTCTACATGTGACCACGCCCACCATGACATCACCACCACCGTGACCACGCCCACCATGACATCACCGTTGGTGTGACCACGCCCCCGATGACATCACCCCGCCGTGACCACGCCCACCATGACATCACCCTTCCTGTGACCACGCCCACCATGACATCACCCCGCCATGGCCACGCCCACCATGACATCACCCTTGCTGTGACCACGCCCCCGATGACATCACCCTTGCTGTGACCACGCCTCCGATGACGTCACCCCGCGGTGGCCCCGCCCCCCGATGACGTCACCAGGCTGTTCTACGCGGGCGCCCGCGAGGGGCAGCTGCCGGCGCTGCTCGCCATGATCCACCTGCGGCGCCACACCCCCGTCCCCGCCCTGCTCGTCACCGTGAGACACCGAAATGGGGCTGAAAACCGGGAAATCGGGAAAAAACGGGGAAAAACAAAAAAAAAATGGGGAAAATCGGGCGAGAAACGGTGCGAAAAACGGGGGAGAAATGAGTTAGGAAAGGGTTAAAATCAGGTAGGAAAGGGTTAAAAATTGGGTCCTAAAGGGCTAAAAATGGTAGGAAAAGGGTTAAAAATATTCCGAAAAATGGATAAAAAGTGGATTAAAATTTTGATTGGGAATAGATGGAAAAATTGACGAAAAATGGCCAAAAATTGGTAAAAAATGGGTTAAAGTCTGGTGAAAAGTGGGGTAAAAAATGGGTTAAAAATGGGTGGAAATTGCTTTAAGAAAGGGTTAAAAATTGGGTTAAAAGTGGGTAAAAATTGGTTATAAATTGGTAAAACTTGGGGAAGAAAAGGTTAAAATCTGGGTGAAAAATGGGGGAAAATTGGGTGGAAAAATGGATGAAAACTGGGTTGAAAAAAATTTTTGCAGCGGCAAAAAAAAGCGTTAAAACCTGGTCTAAAACGGGGGAAAACTGGGTTAAAGGTTGGTGGAAATTTGGGTAAAAACTGGTGTAAAAATTGATTAAAAATGGGGTTAAGAAAGGGTTAAAATTTGGGTGAAGATTGGGTTAAAAAATGGGAGAGGAAAGGGTTAAAAACGCGGGTGGAAACCGGCTGAAAAATGGTTAAAAACAGCTGAAAAATGGGTGGAAAACGCCGGAAGTGGTTTAAAAAACGGGTAAAAGGGGTAAAAATCTGGTCCGGAAGGGGTTAAAAATTGGCGGGGAAATGGGCGGGCGTGTCCCCGGGTGGGCGTGTCCTGACGGGAGCCCCGCCCCCAGTGCGCGTCCACGCTGCTGATGCTGGTGACCGGCGACATCTACACGCTCATTAATTACGTGGGCTTCGTTAATTACCTCTGGTACGGCGTCACCGTGGCCGGGCTGGTGCTGCTCCGCTGGAGGGAGCCCCAACTGCCACGCCCCATCAAGGTAGGCCACGCCCACTTTGCTGATAAACCACGCCCGCTTTGGCTGATAAACCACGCCCGCTTTGGCTGTTAAACCACGCCCGCTTTGGCTGTTAAACCACGCCCGCTTTGGCTGTTAAACCACGCCCGCTTTGCGTGTGAAATACGAGGCACCTAATGGTGAAGCCACGCCCACTTTGGGCAGCAAACCACGCCCACTTTGTGTCTCAAATGCTGTGCCTTTTATGGTTAAACCACGCCCACTTTGAGACTGAAACCACGCCCCTTTCGCTGTTTAGCCACGCCCACTTTGGGCCTAAAGCCATGCCCACTTTATGTCTCAAACGTAGTTCCTTTTATGGCTAAGCCACGCCCACTTTGGACACTAAGCCACGCCCACTTTATGTTTAAATGTCGTTCCCTTTATGGTTAAGCCACGCCCACTTTATGTCTCTAAACCACGCCCACTTTGAGCTTCAACCACGGCCACTTTGTACCCTTAACCACGCCCGCTTTATGTCTCAAACCACGCCCCTTTTGAGCTTAAACCACACCCACTTTGGACCTGAAACCACGCCCACTTTTGGTCCTAAACCACGCCCCTTTTGAGCTGTAACCACGCCCACTTTGCCACCACACCACGCCCACTTTATGTCTCAAATGACGTTCCTTTTATGGCTAAGCCACGCCCCTTTTGTGCTTAAACTACACCCACTTTGTACCCTAAACCACGCCCACTTTAGGTCTCAAATTCTATCCCTTTTATGGTTAAACCACGCCCCCTTTTGTGCTCTAACCACGCCCCCCTGGTGGATTCCCACGCTCCCCCCATTCATAAAATTAATCCATTCCCACGCCAAGCTCCGCCCCCATTCACCGAAACCGCGCCCCCTGCAGGATTCCTACGCTCCCCATTCATAAAAACAATCGCTGCAAACGCTCCCGGGTTAATTCCCACGCCCCCATTGATAAAAATTGTGACTACGAACGCCCCCTACAGAATTCCCACGCCCCCCCCATTCATAAAATTGATCACTACAAATGCCCCTACAGAATTCCCACGCACCCCATTCATAAAATTGATCACTACAAATGCCCCTATAGAATTCCCACGCACCCCATTCATAAAATTGATCACTACAAATGTCCCTATAGAATTCCCACGCACCCCATTCATAAAAAATCTCACTGCAAACACTCCCTAGTTAATTTCCATGCTCGCCATTCACAAAAAATCACAGTCCCAAACGTCCCTCAGTGAATTCCCGTGCTCTCCATTCATAAAATAATCTTACTACCAACACCCCCCACAAAATTGCCACGCCCCCCATTCATAAAATTGATTACTACAGATGCCCCTGTAGAATTCCCCACGCTCCCATTCATAAAAAAATCGCACTCCAAACACCCCCCCACGCCATTCCCACGCTCCCCATTCATAAAAGCGAGCACCGCAAATGCGTCTACGTAGTTCCCACGCCCCCCCCCCCCCATTCATGAAAGTTACTACTATGGCCGCTCCCGCGGAATTCCCGCGCCTCCCATTCACAAAAAAAATCCACACTCCAAACGCCGCCCCACACCATTCCCACGCCCCCAAACCCCCTCAAATCCCCTCAAACCACCCCAAAACCCCCTCTAGACCCCCAAACCCCCCCAAAAACCCACCCAAATCCACTCAATCCTCCCCCAAACCTCACCCAAACGCCCCCAAACCCCCCCAAAACCTCCCCAAAACCCCCTCAAACCTCCCAAAACCCCCCCAAAACCCCCTCAAACCCCCCCAAAACCTCCCCAAATCCTCATTTAACCTCCCCAAAACCTCCCCAAATCCCCCCGAAACCCCCTCAAACCTCCCCAAATCCTCATTTAACCTCCCCAAGACCCCCCCAAACCTCCCAAGACCCCCCCAAACCCGCTCAAAACCCCCTCAAACCCCCTCAAAACCACCCCAAAACCCCCTCAAACCGCCCCAAACCCCCCCAAAACCCCCTCAAAACCCCCTCAAACCTCCCCAAATCCTCATTTAACCTCCCCAAGACCCCCCCAAACCTCCCCAAACCCCCCCAAAACCTCCCCAAAACCCCCTCAAACCTCCCCAAAACCCCCCTCAAACCCCCCAAAACCCCCTCAAACCTCCCCAAATCCTCATTTAACCTCCCCAAACCCCCCCAAACCTCCCCAAACCCCCACCAAACCCCCCTCAAACCGCCCCAAATCCCCCCAAACCCCCCTCAAACCTCCCCAAACCCCCCCAAAACCCCCTCAAACCTCCCCAAATCCTCATTTAACCTCCCCAAGACCCCCCCAAACCCCCCCCAAACGCCCCCAAACCTCCCCAAATCCCCCCTCAAACCTCCCAAACCCCCCAAATCCCCTTTAGACCCCCCCAAACCTCCCCAAACCTCCCCAAATCCCCCCGAAACCCCCCCAAAACCTCCCCAAATCCTCATTTAACCTCCCCAAAACCTCCCCAAACCCCCCCAAACCCCCCCCAAACGCCCCCAAAACCCCCCAAATCCCCTTTAGACCCCCCCCAAACCTCCCCAAATCCCCCCAAAACCCCCCCAAATCCCCCAAAACCCCCTCAAACCCCCTCAAACATCCCCAAATCCTCATTTAACCCCCCCAAACCTCCCCAAACCCCCCCAAACCCGCTCAAAACCCCCCAAATACCCCCAAACCCCCCCAAAACCTCCCCAAAGCCCCCTCAAACCCCCTCAAACTCCCCAAATCCTCATTTAACCTCCCCAAGACCCCCCCAAATCCCCCCGAAACCCCCTCAAACCTCCCCAAATCCCCCCGAAACCCCCAAACCCCCCAAATCCCCTTTAGACCCCCCCAAACCTCCCCAAATCCCCCCAAAACCCCCCCAAATCCCCCCAAAACCCCCTCAAACCCCCTCAAACATCCCCAAATCCTCATTTAACCCCCCCAAAATCTCCCCAAACCCCCCCAAACCTCCCCAAACCCCCCCAAACCCCCCCCAAACGCCCCCAAACCCCCCAAATCCCCTTTAGACCCCCCCAAACCTCCCCAAACCCCCCCAAAACCCCCTCAAACCTCCACAAACCCCCTCAAACCCCCCCCAAATCCACTCAATCCTCCCCCCAAACCCCACCAAATCCCCCCAAAACCCCCTCAAAGCTCCCCCAAATCCCCCCAAAACCCCCCCAAAACCTCCCCAAATCCTCATTTAACCTCCCCAAGACCCCCCCAAACCCCCCCGAAACCCCCTCAAACCTCCCCAAATCCTCATTTAACCTCCCCAAGACCCCCCCAAACCTCCCCAAGACCCCCCCAAACCCGCTCAAAACCCCCTCAAACCCCCTCAAAACCACCCAAAACCCCCTCAAACCGCCCCAAATCCCCCCAAAACCCCCTCAAAACCCCCCCAAAACCCCCTCAAACCACCCCAAAACCCCCTCAAACCTCCCCAAATCCCCCCAAACCCCCCCCAAACCCCCCCAAAACCCCCTCAAACCCCCTCAAAACCACCCCAAATCCTCTGAAACCTCCCCAAACTCCAAATGTCACCCCAAAACGCCCCCCGAACCCCGACGCGCAGGTGCACCTGGCGTTCCCGGCCGTGTACCTGCTCTTCTGGGGGGCCCTCCTGGCCTTCTCGGTGTGGTCGGAGCCGCTCGTGTGCGGCGTCGGCCTGGCCGTGGCGGCCACCGGCGCCCCCGTGTACCTGCTGTGCCTCCGGGGGGGACCCCGGCCCCCCGGCATCCAGAGCGCCATGGGGTGAGGGGGTTTTCGGGGGGGTTTGGGGGGGTTTGGGGGGTTTGAATGGGGTTTGGGGGGTTTGGGGGGTTTGAGTGGGGTTTGGGGGGGGTTTTATGGGGTTTGGGGGGGTTTGGGGGGTTTGAATGGGGTATTGGGGGGTTTGGGGGGTTTGAATGGGGTTTGGGGGGTTTGAATGGGGTTTGGGGGTTTAAGGGGGATTTGGGGGTCTGAAGGGGATTTTGGGGGGGTTTATCGGGATTTTGGGGGGTTTGAATGGGGTTTGGGGGGGTTTGAATGGGGTTTGGGGGGGTTTGGGGGGGTTTGAATGGGATTTGGGGGGGTTTGAATGGGATTTGGGGGGGTTTGAGGGGGTTTGAATGGGGTTTGGGGGGGTTTGAATGGGGTTTGGGGGGTTTGAATGGGATTTTGGGGGGTTTGAATGGGGTTTGGGGGGGTTTGAATGGGGTTTGGGGGGTTTGGGGGGGTTTGAATGGGGTTTGGGGGGGTTTGAATGGGGTTTGGGGGGTTTGAATGGGATTTGGGGGGGTTTGAATGGGGTTTGGGGAGGTTTGAGGGGGTTTGGGGGGGTTTGAATGGGGTTTTGGGGGGGTTTGAATGGGGTTTGGGGGGTTTGGGGGGGTTTGAATGGGGTTTGGGGGGGTTTGATTGGGATTTGGGGGGTTTGAATGGGGTTTGGGGGGTTTGGGGGGGTTTGAATGGGATTTGGGGGGTTTGAATGGGGTTTGGGGGCTTGAATGGGGTTTGGGGGGGTTTTATCGGGATTTTGGGGGGTTTAAATGGATTTTGGGGGGGTTTGAATGGGGTTTGGGGGGGTTTGAATGGGGGTTTGGGGGGTTTGAGGGGATTTTGGGGGGGTTTGAATGGGGATTTGGAGGTCTGAAGGGGATTTTGGGGGGGGTTTGATTGGGATTTGGGGGGGTTTGAGGGGGTTTGGGGGGGTTTAAATGGGGTTTGGGGGGGTTTGAATGGGGTTTGGGGGGTTTGAGGGGATTTTGGGGGGTTTGAGGGGATTTTGGGGGGTTGTGAGTGGGGTTTGAATGGGGTTTGGGGGGTTTGAGTGGGATTTTGGGGGGTTTGAATGGGAAAATTTGGGGGGTTTGAATGGCATTTTGGGGGGTTTGAATGGGGTTTGGGGGTGTTTGAATGGGATTTTGGGGGGGTTTGAATGGGGTTTGGAGGGGTTTGATGGGATTTTGGGGAATTTGAGGGGGTTTTGGGGGGTTTGAGGGGATTTTGGGGGGGTTTGATGGGTTGGGGGGTTATGGGTTGGGGGGGTTGTATGGGGTTTGGGGGGGTTTGAATGGGGTTTGGGGGGTTGATGGGGTTGGGGGGGGTTGGGTTGGGGGGGTTTGGGGGGTGGGGGGTTTGATGGGGTTTGGGGGGTTTTGGGGGAATTTGAGGGGGTTTGGGGGGAATTGAATGCGTTTGGGGTGATATTTTGGGGTTTGGGGGGGTTTTAATGGGGGTTTGGGGGTTGTTTAAATGGGATTTTGGGGGGTTTGAATGGGATTTTGGGGGAATTTGAGGGGGTTTTGGGGGGTTTGAATGGGATTTGGGGGGTTTTAATGGGGTTTGGGGGGCTTTGATTGGGGTTTGGGCGGGTTTAAGTGGGATTTTGGGGAAATTTAGGAGGAATTTAGAAAAAAAAAATTGGTATTTGGGGTGGGTTTTATGCGAATTTGGGATGGTTTGGGGGGGAAACATTTAAAGCGGATTTTCGGGATGTTACAGGAGTTTTTCGGAAGTTTGGGAGGGATTTGGGGAAGTTTGTGTGAATTTGGAAAGATTCAGATTTGGGGTGGATTTTACATGAATTTGGGGCCGCTTTGGGAATATTTAAAGCGGATTTTGGGGGGATTTTGAGGGGGATTTTGGGGCGGATTTAACGAAATTTCTGAATTTTTTTAGTGGAACCTCACCCAAATTCTTTGTTTTTATTTTATTTAATTTTTTTTTTAATTTTTATTTTGTTTTTTGTTTTCCCCTCCCCCCCCAGCGCGCGTGACGCGGTTCGGGCAGCGCCTCCTATTGGTCGTGTACCCGGGGGGCGGGGCCGAGGGTGGCCCCGCCCCCTCCCCCGAGCCCCTCAAGCCCCCCTCCCCCCCCCCTGCGAGGACCCCCTGACCCCCCTGACCCGCCCCGCCCCCTCCTGAGCCACGCCCCCTTTGCTTAGGCCACGCCCCCTCTCCTTGGCCCCGCCCCTGAGCCCGGTGGGGCCGCCCCTCCCCCACCCCCAGTGCCTTAAAAGGGGGCGTGGCCTCAATCCCCCCCTCATCCCAATGACGTCATGGGCAGAGCCGGCTCCGCCCCTTTCCTCCTGCTTTTAATAAGAGGGGGCGTGGCCTCGGCTTGTGAATAAAACACCTTTGGCAAAAAAAAAAAAAAAAAAACCGTTGTGTGTGTTTTTTATTATTTTTTTATTGAAATTTCCGGATTTTTCCACCAGAAGTTTTCCGTCGGTTTTTTACGGAAATTCCCGAAGTTTTTTTAATCCCGAACTTGGGCAAAAAAAAAAAAAAAAATTCCCCAATTTTTAAATTTTTTTTTTTTCCGGGGTTTTTCAGGGTCGTTTCCGGAAATTCCCGAAAATTTCCGAACTTTAAAGGGAAAATCGGGAGTTCTACAGAAATTCCCCAAAATTTTAATTTTTTCGCGAATTTTTCCGGAAATCACCGAAGTTTTTTACGGAAATCGCCGAAGTTTCACACGGAAATTTCCGAACTTTAATCGGGGAACAAAAATCCCGAATTCCTCCGGAAATTCCCGAACTCCTCCGAGTCTCCCCGACACCGGAAACACCCGAAGAGCCCCGGGAACAACCGGAAATACCCGAAGAGCACCGGAAACGCCCGAAGAGCCGCCGGGAACGCACGGAGAGTTACGGAAACACCCGAAGAGCCACGGGAAGCAACGGAAGGCGACGGAAACAGCCGAAGCGCCGTGCGGAAGTTGCCGAAGCCGCCGTCCGGAAGCGTCCGAAGGCGCAGCGCAAGCGGCGCCACACCAAGATGGCGGACGGGGAGGAGGTGACTCTGGACGGGCGGCCGCTCCATCTGCTGCGCGTCGCCGACCTCAAAGCGGCCCTGGAGCAGCGAGGGCTCGCCAAGAGCGGCCAGAAGAGCGCCCTGATCAAGCGGCTGCGAGGGGTGAGGGGGAAGCGCCAGAAATGGCGGCGGCGCCGAGGAGAGGCCGCCGTGAGGGGAAAGAGGGGGGGGGCGGGAAAATGGCGGCGCATGCGCGGGAAGCGGGGAGTGAAGGGGGGGAAGGTTCCCCCCCTCAGGGTTTTCCCGCCAACGCGTGAGGGGGGGAAAAGGCGGGAAGGAGGAGACCCCCCCTCCGTGAGGGTGAGTGGGGGGTGAGGGCGGTTCGGGGTGAAAAAAGGGGATTTTGGGTCGGTGGGAGGGGAGAGGTTTTTTTGGGTGCGTTTGGGGGTAAAAGTTGGGGTTTTGTGGGGGTTTGGGGTTTTTTTGCGGGTTTTGGGTGGTCCGCGGAGAGGCTGAGGGGGTTTGGGTTTAAAGGAGGGTTTGAGGAGTTTGTGAGGGGTTTTGAGGTAAAGTTGCGGGTTTTGTGCATTCTGCAAAAAGTCTGAGGGGATTTGCGTTTAAAGCTCCGGTTTTGAGGAGTTTGTGATGGAGTTTGGGGTGAAAATCCCGGTTTTGATGAGTTTGATGAAAGTCTGAGGGGATTTGCGGTAGAAGTTGCGGGTTTTGTGAATTCTGCAAAAAGTCTGAGGGGATTTGCGTTTAAAGCTCCGGTTTTGAGGAGTTTGTGATGGAGTTTGGGGTGAAAATCCCGGTTTTGATGAGTTTGATGAAAGTCTGAGGGGATTTGGGTTTAAAGCTCCGGTTTTGAGGAGTTTGTGAGGGAATTTGATGTGAAAATCCCGGTTTTGATGAGTTTTAGGAAAAGTCTGAGAGGGTTTGCGGTAAAAGTTGCGGTTTTGTGAATTCTACAACAAGTCTCAGGAGATTTGAATTTAAAGCTCCGGTTTTTGAGGAGTTTGTGAGGGGATTTATATGAAATTGCGGTTCTAAAGAGATTTGGGTTTTAAAGCTCCGGTTTTGAGGTTTTTGTGAGGGGATTTGAGGTAAAACTCCCGGTTTTGATGAGTTTTACGAAAAGTCTGAGGGGATTTGGTGTCGAAGTTGCGATAATTGTGAGTTTTGGGAAAAGTCTGAGGGGATTTGGGTTTAAAACTCCGGTTTTGAGGAGTTTGTGAGGGGATTTGGGGTTTAAATCCCGATTTTGTTGAGTTTTAGGACGAGTCTGAGGGGATTTAAGTTAAAAGTTGCTGTTTTGATGATTTTGAGGGAAAGTCTGAGGGGATTTGGGTTTAAAGCTCCGGGTTTGAGAAATTCGTGAGGGAATTTGAGGTCAAAGTCGTGGTTTTCATGAATTCCAATAAAAGTCTGAGGGGATTTAAGTTTTAAACTCCAGTTTTGGGGATGTTTTAGGAGATTTGAGATAAAAAAATCCCAGTTTTGATGAGTTTGAGGAGAAATTGGAGGCGATTTAAGGTTTAAAACCCATTTTTGGTGAATTTATGAGGGAATTTGGGGTAAATATCACAGTTTTGAGGACTCTGAGGAGGCATTTGGGGCAAAACTCAGATTTTTAGCATTTTGAAGGGATTTGGTTTTGAAAATTCAAAATTAAATCATTGTTTTGGAGGGATTTTAGCAAAAAAATATTAATTTTGGTGACTTTAGGAGAGAATTTGAGGTAAAACTTCAGGATTTGGGGACTTTGACAAGGGCCTGAGGCACTTTGAGGTAAAAAGTGAAGTTTTTGTTAAATTTTCAGCAGATTTGACTTAAAAGTTGCAATTTTTTGTGGATTCCTGAGGAATTTGAGGCCAAATCCTCATTTTCCACGTGTTTGTGAGGGGATTTGAGGTAAAAATTCCATTTTTTGAGGCGCTTTGAGGCAAAATTCACGACTTGGTTGAGGTTTTGAGGGGATTTGAGGTAAAAATCGCGGTTTTTTGTGGCTTTATGAGGGGATTTGAGGCAAAAATCCAATTTTTGGTCACTTTGTGAGGGATTTTTGAGGGGAAACTCGGAGTTTTTGAGGCAATTTTGGTCAGAAATTCAGAATTTTGTAAGTTTTGGGCAAAATATGGGGATTTTGTTGGGATTTTGTGGGAAATTATGGGGATTTCAGGGCGGGAGGGCAAGAAAAAAGGGAATGAATGGAAATTGGAATTTCAGGGAGTAATTAAAACTAAATTAAATTAAATTTTCCCGAATCTGCCCCAATTCAGGCGCTGATGTTGGAGAACCTCCAGAAGCACTCGAGCCCCCACCCCACCTTCCAGCCCAACTCCCAGGTGAGACCCCCAAAAATCCCCAATTTCGCCCCAAATTTACAGAAATCCACCCAAAATTCCCAAAATTTCCCCAAAATCTTTTAAAATCCACCCAAAATTCCCTCAAATTCCCCCAAAACCTCCCCAAATTCCCAGCAAAATTTCATTAAATTCCCTCAAATTATTCCAAAACTTGCCCGAAATTCCCCAAAATTTTCTTTAAATGACCGCAATAGATCCTGAAATTTCCTCCAAAAAATCCCAAAAATCAGCAAAAAAAAATCTGAAAAAATTCCAAATTTTGGGGAATTCCCGAGTTTTGGAATCCTGAGTTGGAAAGGCTTCGCTCAATTCCTAAAAAGCATCCAAAAGTCACCCAAAAATAATGAAAAATCACCAAAATTTGTCAAATATAGTAAAAAAAATCACCAAAAAATTCCTAAAAAAAGGGGAAAAAGTTCCCAAAATCCCAAATTTTTGGGAATTCCCAATTTTTGGCATCTTGGGTTGGAAAGGCTTCACTTTATCCCAAAAACCCATTTGAAAATCCCTAAAAAAAATCATTAAAATCACTAAAAATTGCCAAAAAAATTCTCAAAATTCCCCCAAAAATTCCCCAAAAAATTGGGAAAAAATTCCCCAAAAATTAATAAAAATCCCAAATAATCCGGAATTTTTTGGGAATTCCCAATTTTTGGGATCTGGGGGGTGGAACAGCCTCACTTAACCCATGAGGAGCCCCAAAAAATCGCCAAAAAATCTTAAAAAAAGGCCCAAAAAATCTTAAAAAAACACCAAAAAAGCCCCAAAAAATGGGAAAAATTCCCCAAAAAAAGGAAGAAAATCCTGAAATTTTCCCAAAAATTTGTGAATTCCCAATTTTTGGGATCTGGGGGTGGAACAGCCTCACTTAACCCATGAGGAGCCCCAAAAAATCATCGAAAAATCACCAAAAATCGCCAAAAATCTTAAAAAACGCCAAGAAAAGCCCCAAAAATGGGAAAAATTCCCCAAAAAAAGGAAGAAAATCCCAAAATTATTGCAAAAATTTGGGAATTCCCAATTTTTAGGATCTGAGGGGTGGAACAGCCTCGCTTAACCCATGAGGAGCCCCAAAAAATCATCGAAAAATCATTTAAAAAATCACCAAAAACGCCCCAAAAAATTCCCAAAAAATTGGGGAAAATTCCCCAAAAAAAGGAAGAAAATCCCGAAATTTTCCCAAAAATTTGTGAATTCCCAATTTTTGGGATCTGGGGGTGGAACAGCCTCACTTAACCCATGAGGAGCCCCAAAATATCATCGAAAAATCACCAAAATCGCCAAAAAATCTTAAAAAAACGCCAAGAAAAGCCCAAAAAATTGGGAAAAATTCCCCAAAAATTCCCAAATTTTTGGTAATTTTCTATTTTTTGGCAGATGGGCGAGGCCATGGGGCAGAACAGCTTCATCAAGCAGTACCTGCAGACCCCAAAATTCTTGAAATAAATCCTGAAAAATTGCCAAAAAAATCACAAAAAATCCTCCAAAAATTCCCAATAAAGTGAAAAATTCTTCAAAAATTTTAAATTTTTGGGAATTCCCAATTTTTAGGATCTGGGAGTGGAACAGCCTCACTTAACCCACACAGGGCCCCAAAAAAATAATGGAAAAAATCACCAAAAATCGTCACCAAAAAAAATGCCAAAAAACTTCCGAAAATTGGCAAAAAAATCACAAAACATTCCAGGAAAAAAAGCACAAAAAATTTCTTAAAATCCCGAATTTTATGAATTCCCAATTTTTGGGATCTGGGAGGGGAACAGCCACACTTAACCCATGGGGAGCCCCAAAAATCATGGAAAAATCACCAAAAATCGCGGAAAAGTGATCAAAAAACGCCAAAAAAAGCCCCAAAAATTGGGAAAAATTCCCCAAAAGTTCCCCAAATTCCCAAATTTTGAATAAATTCCCGTTTTTTGGCAGATGGGCGAGGCCATGGGGCAGAACAGCTTCATCAAGCAGTACCTGGAGACCCCAAAAATCCCCCCAAAAATCCCAAAATTTGTCAAAAAATCCCCCAAAATCACAAAGAAATCCCCAAAAATTGGAAAAAAATCAAAAAGATTCCTGAATACCCAGAAATGAGCCCAAAATTTGGAATTCCCAATTATTGGGATCTGGGGGGTGGAACAGCCTCGCTCAACCCACGGGGAGCCCCCAAAAATCATGGAAAAATCACCAAAAATCGCGGAAAAATGATCAAAAAACGCCAAAAAAAGCCCAAAAAATTGGGAAAAATTCCCCAAAAGTTCCCCAAATTCCCAAATTTTGAATAAATTCCGGTTTTTTGGCAGATGGGCGAGGCCATGGGGCAGAACAGCTTCATCAAGCAGTACCTGGAGAAGCAGCAGGAGCTGCTCCAGCAGCGCCGGGACCCCCCCGAGCCCCACGGTGAGACCCCAAAATCCACAAATTCCACCCCAAAATCCCCCAATTTACCTCCAGAACCCCAAACCCACCAAATTCATCTCAAATTCCACCCCAAAATCCCCCAATTTCCCTCCAAAGCCTTGAAATTCACCCCAAAAACCCCAAATTTCACCCCAAAACCGCAAATTTCACCCAAATTTCACCTCAAAAACCCCAAATTTCACCCCAAATTCACCTGAAAATCCCCCAGATTTACCTCAAATTTACCCCAAAGTTCACCCCAAAATTCCCAATTTAACCCCAAAATCCCCAAATTCACCCAACAACCCCCAATTTACCTCAAGAACCCCAAATCCACCAAATTCATCTCAAATTTCACCCCAAAATCCCCAAATTTCACCCCAAATTCACCCCAAAATCCACCCCAAAATCCCCAATTTCACCCCCAAAAACCCACAAATTTCACCCCAAATCCCCAAATTTCACCCCAAATTTCACCCCAAAAACCCCAAATTTACCCCAAAACCCCCAAATCCCCCCCCGAAAAACCCCTAAATCCACAAATTCATCTCAATTTCACCCCAAAAACCCCAAATTTCTCTCAAAATTCCCTAAATTTCACCCCAAATTTCACCCCAAAACCCCCAAATTTGCCTCAAAAATCCCCCAAATTTCACCCCAAAACCCCCAAATCCACCGAATTCATTGCAATTTTCACCCCGAAATCCCCAAATTTCACCCCAAATTTACCCGAAAATCCACCAAATTTACCACAAAAACCCCAAATTTCACCCCCAATTTACCTCAAAAACCCCAAATTCACCCCCAAAATCCCCACAATCCACCAAATTCATCTCAAATTTCACCACAAAATCCCCCAATTTACCTCCAAAGCCTTGAAATTCACCCCAAAACCACCAAATTTCACCCCCAATTCACCCCCAAAAACCCCAAATTTCACCCCAAAACCGCAAATTTCACCCCATGTTCACCCCAAATTTCACCTCAAAAACCCAAATTTCACCCCAAATTCACCTGAAAATTCCCCAGATTTACCTCAAATTTTACCCCAAAGTTCACCCCAAAATTCACCCCAAATTCACCCCAAAATTCCCAAATTTAACCCCAAAATCCCCAAATTCACCCCAGCAACCCCAAATTTACCTCAAGAACCCCAAATCCACCAAATTCATCTCAAATTTCACCCCAAATCACCCCAAAATCCACCCCAAAATCCCCCAATTCACCCCAAAAACCAAAAATTTCACCCCCAAATCCCCCAATTTCACCCCAAAAACCACAAATTTCACCCCAAATCCCCAAATTTCACCCCAAATTTCACCCCAAAAACCCCAAATTTACCCCAAAACCCCCAAATCCCCCCCGAAAAACCCCTAAATCCACCAAATTCATCTCAAATTTCACCCCAAAAACCCCAAATTTCTCTCAAAATTCCCTAAATTTCACCCCAAATTTCACCCCAAAACCCCCAAATTGCCTCAAAAATCCCCCAAATTTCACCCCAAAACCCCCAAATCCACCGAATTCATTGCAATTTTCACCCCGAAATCCCCAAATTTCACCCCAAATTTACCCCGAAAATCCACCAAATTACCACAAAAACCCCAAATTTCACCCCAAATTACCTCAAAAACCCCAAATTTCACCCCAAAATCCCCAAATCCACCAAATTAATCTCAAATTTCACCCCCAAAATCCCCAAATTCACCCCAACATTTCACCCCAAAATCCCCAAATTTCACCCCACAATTCACCCCCGAAAATCCCCCAAATTTCACCCCAAGAACCCCAATTTCACACCCAAAAAACCCAAATCCACCAAAATTCATCTCAAATTCACCCCAAAATCCCCAAATTTACCTCAAAAATCCCAAATTTCACCCCAACTTCACCCCAAATCCCCCAAATTTACCTCAAAAACCCAAATTTCACCCCAAATCCACCAAATCCACCTCAAATTTCACCCCAAAATCCCCCGAATTACCCCAAAATATCCCTAAAAACCCCAATTCACCCCCCAAAATCCACCATATTTACCACAAAAACCCCAAATTTCACCCCAAAATCCCCAAATTTCATCCCAAAAACCCCAAATTCACCCCAAAAACACCAAAATCCCCAAATTCACCCCAAAACCAACAAAATTCACCCCAAAAATCCCAAAATTCCCCCCAGAAATTGCCCAAATTCACTCCAAAATCCCCCAAATTTACCCCAAAATCCCCCAAATTCACCCCCAAAATTTCCCAAAATTCCCAAATTTCACCCCAAAACCCCAAATTTCACCCCAAAATCCCCCAAATCCACCCCCAAAATTTCCCAAAAATTCCCAAATTTCACCCTAAAATCCCCCAAATTCACCCCAAAATCCCCCAAATTCTCCCCAAAATCCCCCAAATTCACCCCCAAAATTCCCAAAATTCCCAAATTTCTCCCTAAAATCCCCCAAATTCACCCCCCAAAATTCCCAAATTTCACCCTAAAATCCCCCAAATCCACCCCCAAAATTTCCCAAAAATTCCCAAATTTCACCCCAAAATCCCCCAAATTCACCCCCAAAATTCCCA